TTGGGTGGTGTGTGTGTGTGTGGTGGGGNGGGGGGGGGGTGGTGGTATTGAGGGAGTGTAGGCAGAGGGGCGAGCTTCTATGCTATACTTGTCGGATAACTTTCCTGTCTTAAGACGGGCAGCGGTGCAAGCGTCTATGCCATACTTGTCAGATAACTTTCCTGTCTGTCTACGATTTAGTAAGACAGGGGCAGAGGGGTGAGCGTCTATGCCATACTTGTCAGAAAACTTTGCTGTCTGCCTAAGATTTAGTAAGACAGTAGCCTTTAGTTGTCCCGAGGTCGTGAAGTCACAATGTAGTGCCGACAGACCTCTGGACAAGTGCAAAACTGAGATTCTGTGCTGCTTCTATTAAATGGACTTCGTTGAGAGTCTCTCCTAGGCCTGAGGTATGCTGTCTTGACATCTGCCAGCACCACTGTGGATGCAGTGGGGAAGAAAGTCATGGGCAATTTAGCTCTAGGAGTAGGGTCTGTAGTGGGGAAGAGAGTTAAGGTATGAAGAGGATAGATAGAGTTAAGCTATGAATGGAGAATCAAGCTATGGAGAGAGAGGAAAGAAAAGAGGTAGGGGAAGACAGAGAGTGAATAGTAAGAGGGCGAAGATTATATCTAAAATGGGGCATGCGAGATAGAATATTTATGTATCTAAGTACTATTTAAACAAAGTTTTCTTTTTCCTTTGTTTTTTTTTCTTCTCTTTTTTCCTTATTTTATATATATAGATATGGAAAAGCTTTATATAGGTTTGCAACCTTAAAATGTAGAATTAAAGATGCACCTAAAAAATTCATCAAAAAAGGTTGTTTTAATGTTGAAAAACCCTCTAATTGATCATCTCAGCAATGAGATGTACGAATATGAAAAAAGAAAATATTTTGGGTCCCAAAAATAGTGCATCTTGCAACACATTATCTACACCGTCCATGTTCAAGATTTTCATATGTTTATAGATCTACTTGATTTTAACCATTTTTTTAGTTTAAAATTTTATAATTAGATATGAAAATAGATTTTCAGATAATCTTAAGCTTTTTTTACACCAAAACTACATGTTGTGATAAAATTTGATGGTGTGCCTTAAGTGTATTGTTTAAGGTTGCAACCTTATAGAAACCACACCTTACATATATATATTCTTCTCTTTTTTCCTTATTTATTTTATTATATAATATATAAATGGTGGTGGTGCCTCGCCACACAGACTGACTCCCTTTGGGTTCAAGTCTTGCGCCACAAATACAAGATCGTCGAGGGTACATGGGTGCTAGAGAAGAGAAATATCAACAATGCCCCAAGAGCGTGGAAATCTTTCACGTCCTCCCTCTCCTTCTTCAGGAATTTAATTCGTTTCCACTCAAGGGAGGGTACAAGAGTGCGCTTTTAGTCGGATGCCTGGCTTGGACACACTCCCTTTAGGGAAATGTACCCTTCCCTCTTCTCCATTGCCTCGAACAAAGAAGCAACAGTCACTGAAGCAATGATAGTGGTGGGAAACCGAAGGGAGTGGAACCCTTCATTCAGAAGGAATCTCTCAGATGAGGAAGTCTCACACTTCCTTTCTCTCTCCAGTACTCTTCAAAACTCTTTCATTCCCACCCATGGGAGGGATTAGTTGGTTTGGTCTCTCACTCCTTTTGGTACTTTCACGGTGGCATCTCTCTACAAAAGACTTATACAACCACCCACTTTCCCTCTTAACCCTCCTTCGGTGTTATCAAAGGTGTGGTGCACTATCGCACTTGCCAAAGTGAAGTGTTTCAATTGGATAGGATCTCAGAGGGCCCTCATGGTGGATCAGCTTCAAAAAAGAGGAATTCCAATTCCCAACAGATGTGTCCTATGTCTCTGTGAAGAAGAATCTAACCCACATCTTTTCCTCCATTGCAATATGGTTCACGGTCTTTGGGGTTATGGGTCATGCCAACGATTGTCAAGCATTTGTTATCTCTTTACCCCGTCCTTCACTGGCCAAAGGCAAGAAGAACAATTTGGAAAGCTGCAGTGGCAGCTATTATTTGGACAATCTGGAATGAGAGGAATTCTAGGATTTTCCAAGGAATAGCTACTGAAGGTCCAACCTTGTTCCATAAAGTTACATCCTTAGTAACTTTCTGGGCTTCCAATCACCGCATCTTTGCAGGATTCCCTGCTAATACTTTCCTCTACAACTGGAAAAACATTATGCTCCACGGTCCTCGCAAGGCCCAAAGACCCCATGAATGGCAACCCCCCACCTGAGGTACCATTAAACTCAACTTTGACGGGTGCTCCTTGGAGAACCCTGGTCATGCCGGAGGGGGAGGAGTGTTCAGGGACCACCGTCGAGCAATTTTGTTTACATACTCCGAATACTTGGGCATCCAAGACTTTCAACATACTGAGGCAATGGCCCTTCTTTTAGACTGAAAAGCTTCAATTTGTCCTAGGGGAAAAATCCTACTGTGGAAGGGGACGCTAGTAACATCATTTCTTGGGTTTCAAGGGGCTCCTCCCCTCCCTGGTATCTTGCTCCCATTTTTGATGAGATCGCTGAGATTTGCAGGGATATGTGCGTCTCTTGGACGTACCTTGAGGACGTCAAACGACTTAGCGGATCTTCTGGCAAAGGACGGGGCCAGAGCTCACACTAAAGCCACAGAAGGATAAAGAAATAGCAGTTCACGGCCACCTAATTTTGACATATATCACACAAGTTTTGTACAAAGGGGCAATTTTGTAAACCTATTTTTTGTGATATCGTTGTATATCTTGTACCGTCAAGGGCTGTATTGTTATTTTTTGTATAGGGTTGACTGACAACCTCTTACGAGGTGTCCCACTGGTTAGGACCCTCAATTTAAATACCTCAGTATAAACTCTCTTAATGAAATGCAGTTAACTTGTATAAAAAAAAATATAATATATACATATATATGTGTATATATAATGTATATACATATATATGTGTATACATATTCTTCTCTTTTTTTCTTACCTTATTTACTTTACATAATATATGCTTATATATATGTGTATATGTATGTGTGTGTGTGTGTGTGTGTGTGTGTGTAATATATATAGCACTTTACAATACTTCATTATGATCTACAAAACGCCTATAGGTGAAGTTCTACAGTACTTCACTTATACCTCATCACCGTCCAAAGTTCATCACACAGTCACAATTGTCCGTTAGTAATTGAATTTTTATAATTATTGTATTAATCCAAGTTATCTAAAATTTGGGGCGTGAGTACATATGACCAAGTCGCACCAAAATAAAATATGAAAAAAATAATAGATAAAATAGAATGACAAAATTACCCCTGAAACTTTATAGGGGTATTTTGCATAATTTTTATCATTCAAATTATTTGTTTTATATTTTATTCATGTGCGTCTCACTAAGGCGTACACCAAAAAAATTTCAGATCATTATAATTTGTAAAAGCAATATTAAAATTCAAACACTATCAGACATCTGTGACCGTGTGATAAACTTTGAACGGTGATAATGCTGTAGGTGAAGTAATGTAGAACTTCACCTAAGGGCGCTTTGTAGTGTTTTCCATATATATATATCTATATCTATATATATATATATATATATATATATATATATCTCTGTGTGTGTATGTGTAAATATATGTGTATATATGTTGGTATATATATGTGTATATATGTGGATATCGATATATTTGTGTGTATGTGTGTGTATAATATATATATATATATTATACACCTTATAATAGCTGGGCAGCTATAATGAATAGTAATATAGGTGAAATCCAAGCTGTTAGATCTTCATCTTATGGTTCAGAATGCATATCACCATATGAATTTTAATGTTTTTTCTATAAATTTGATTAAGATGAAATTTTGGGTGTATATACTTAACACTATTGCGCACCATATAAAAATATAAAAAAATTATTTTCAATTATTTAAGATGACCAAATTACCCCGGTCATTTTTAGGAGTATTTCGGCCATTTTATATTTTGGGAAATATATGTTTTATTTATTTTTTAATTGTGCGCTCTAGTTTTTAGTACACATGTCTAAAATTTCATTATGATCCGATTTCTCGAAAAAATATTAAAATTCATATTGTGATATGCATTTTGAACCACATGATGAAGATCTGACGGCTCCCATTCCACCTATATTACTATTCATTATAGCTGCCCAGCTATTGTTAGATTTTTCCATCTCTCTTTCTCTCTCTCTATATATATATATATATGTATTGTTAGCTTTTTCCATTTACACACACACACACACACATCAAAGCTCAAATAGTTGGATGTGCCGGCCTAGGCAGGTGTCTAGGAGCAAGGACAGGTAAACCCAGTAAATATTTACAAATGTTCAAAATATCAAATAATCTAAGAAATATTCACAAAATATTAGAAGTATTTGGTTATGCAATCTAAATATTCACAAAATATCAATTTAATTCGAAGTTTAAAACTATTTATTCACAAAATATAAGCCCAAACCAATACATATTCATAAAATATCCAGCTATAAGTATGTAGAAATATAA